ACGGCGGGCCTCAGGGTCCCACCCCGGCCTCGCTGGAGGACCTGATCTGGTTGGCAGCGCTGCAGCAGCAGTTTGGCGGCGAGGTGGCGGGGCCCGCCACATTGCTAGGGGCCTTGGGAGGAGTGCCAGAGCGAGGGGACAGAGAGAGGGGGCCGGTCAACGGCTTCCTGGGCTGCGAGGACGCAGTGGAGGCTTTGCTGAACTCGGCTGCTGCAGCTGTCAGCTCGCAGGTAAAACAATGCGTCATCTCTGCTTCATTAATTCTTCTCTCTCACACAGAATGTATCTTCTCCACGCTGCCTCCTCTTCATCATCTCCACTCTCTTTCTCTCTACAGTTTCCAGGTCTTTCCCAGAGTTCGAGCAGCAACCTGGGAGACTCCAGCAGCGACAGCGGCGCCGACATCTCCTGCCCCAAAGGTGCGGACATGTGCCATCGCCCGCTTGTCTTCCTCTCCTCCGGCACTCCATCGCTCCCCAACGCCGGCCTCGCCTCGGCCCCTTACCCACAAGCCCTCAGCCCCCAGGGGCGCCTTCATCACCACCAGCATCACCATCACCACCCGCACCACCCCATGCATGGCAGTCATCACCATCACCATCATCACCACCCACAAATGAATCAGGTACACACTCATCGATCCGTGATTAAACGACGATGACGCTCCAACAGGAGGAGGCGTTCATCAGTAAAACGCAGGAGAGGTGAAAGAATTGAACGGTGACACGTTGTCACCTTCGAGGGCTGAGCGGCTGGAGAGAGGGATCGTGCAGTGAAGGATTAAGATTAGGACATTAGAACATGGTTATTAATGTCTGTGTACATCTGAAGCGTCGCTTTAAGGATCGCTCTCTGCATGGCAACAATTGGAGAAGATAAATCTTTGTTGCGGCGCAAAGTCTTGATTTCCCATGACAAAACATACGTTTATCTGTCAGAATATGCCCTCACACCCCATTTTAACCATTCATAAGCACCAAATAAACATTTAATACATGCTTTATAATGCACTATAAAGTAGTTATAATCGTGTATAAGGACATCGTTAAGTGTTAATGTGTGGTATTTGTCAGCAATTATGACTTCTCCTATAAATAAATATTTTATATTATTAACTATGTTTTCATATATTATCCGTGGTGTCCACAGCGCGAGTTATAGATGTTGACAAATGCTGCAGCTTATGACTATGTGTTATAAATCATTTATTAAACAGTTATGTAGTTCTTCTGTACTTATAAATGCTAAAAAAAGGGGGGTTCTTGTTTTTAGATGTCTCTGTATTTCAAAGTTACAGCACAGACATATAATGAGCTCCTAACATTCACACAAGCCAGTCTTTAAACCAATAAATTCAACACTTTTGTGTTTGGAGGAAAAATCAATTGCTGCTGATAAAACTCTAAAAGTGTAATTTGAATTGGTAAATAAAGTTTGTAGTTGTGGTCGATCACGATGTCTGGGTGGATCACTATGTGCAGCACAGCGGGAGCTTATTATGATAATATCTGCTATTATTGCTGCGCGTAATCCTGATAACTGTCACCCACACTTAGTCAGATTACATGACAGATTATGGACATGTGGTGTCGAAATGTGACCCCTGACAGAGACAAACACACACACACACACACACACACACACACACACAGTATAACACATCACATGTCCACCAGCCAGTGGCAGACTCACCAGCTGTATGCAGAAAGTCTTCTAGCGTGTAGGGAATCCAATATAGCACTGCATCCTGTTTTCTCCAGATTAGGGGAACCATTCGTGCACTGCATCTCATTTTTTACTACTAGAAGGGCACCCAAGTTTTTCCACTGGTAGGGCGCCCTAGAGGGTAGTTTATCAAGTTTACTCCACTGGTAGGGCACCCTAGGGGGTAGTTTATCATGTTTACTCCACTGGTAGGGCACCCTTGAGGGTACTTTATCATGTTTTCTCTACTGGAAAGGCACCCTATAGAGGGAAGTTTATCCCGTTTTCTCTACTGGAAGGGGGGTACTTTGTCACATACTCTCCACTGGAAAGGTCAGCCGAAAGAGACTTTCATCATGTTTTCTCCACTGGAGTCCACCATTGCCACCAGTCATATCACAGTCATATATTTATGTTAAATCAACTTCACACTCATCCTACTCATCAATCATTTCCAGCATTTGTGTCGTTGCCAATTAATTGCAGCATATTCTCTCCGTCTGCTCGGCAGTGCGGGGCGAATGACCGCTTCTCTGACGAGCAGCTGGTGAGCCTGTCGGTGCGGGAGCTGAATCGACACCTGCGGGGAGTGAGTAAGGATGAGGTGGTACGCTTGAAGCAGAAGCGCCGCACGCTAAAGAACCGAGGCTACGCGCAGTCCTGCCGCTACAAGCGCCTGCAGCACCGCCACGCTCTGGAGTCGGAGAAACATGTGCTCACACAACAGGTACGCGCTTGATATTTCACCCCAAGAACTTTATCTGACCCCAAACTTAATCCTAATCTCATCTGTAATTTGGAAATTCAGACAACCCTATATACCCTTCATTCCTGACACTTTATTGAAAGAATAATAAGTGAACATCTTTGCACTGTGGCTCAGCTAAAAGCACAAAGATGTATTATTGTTCTTCTCTCCTCCTCAGTTGGATCAGCTACAGTGTGAGCTGACTCGAGTGCTGAGGGAGAGAGACGCCTACAAGGCTCGCTACGAGAAGCTCCTCAGCACGAACCACGGCATCGGCGGCGACACCGCCCCACCGACCCGCAGCAGCAACCCACCTTCCCCGCCCCCTGACTACTTCCTCTGAGCTTAACCCACAGGGAGAGGAAGAAAAAGACGAATGAGAAGCCACCCAACGTGGAGCAATCAATGATGAGTAATCAGACTTGGGGAGGACAAACAAGGATGTGTATGTGTGTACGTGTGTGTGTGTGTGTGTGTGTGTGTGTGTGTGTGTGTGTGTGTGTGTGCATTTGTGAGTGTGTGTGTGAGAGAGAGAGACATTGGCAGGCAGTTTTGGGGCGATACAACTGTGAAATCCACTGTTAATTCGTAGAGTTAGACTCGGCTCTAGGCTGATTCACGGACTTTTACTTCACTGTGAATGACGGTTGCACAAAAACTTGCTGAGAATGCAACAGTGGACAAATGAGACTATGAAAAATGGATCGAGAGAAAGAAACAGAAGCTTTATCTTGCATTGAAACTTAACAATAGTCCCTGACACTGCTGAGCATTTTATCTATGCAATATTACAGAGCTGCAATGTACTCTCCCAATGAGTGGTTGAGGCTCAAACTGTAGTTGCGTGTTGTTTTTTTTATAATAAGCTGCTAAAGCTGCAGAGGTCTGAGTAGTGCAGTGGTGCTGGATGTGGAGTGGTATGAGCTTGGATAAAGTATCCACGGCATGCGGCTGTGTTTGCCAGCTAATATTTCAGAGTTGCCTACCAAAGTGTTTAAGCTCACCAAGACTTGTTATTCTTTGTAAATTGAATAATCATAGATTAAAGAATGTACAAGGATACCTTTCATGGGAATCTTCCACTGATTGTGCTAAATGGGGATATTGCTCTTGTGTTTTAGCAAAGAAATCAACTTTTTGCTTGTTGGAAATGGCGACTTTTAGCCATCAACAGTGACTTGCTGTTTGCTCTTTTTTTAACAAACAAAGAGCTGGTAGTGCTGAACTTTAAAGCGACTGCTTATGGTGAAAAAGCGAAAGAAACCCATCGCAGCAGGAGGAAAAGAGTGTGGCATGATTGGTGTGGTTCTCCAGACTACAGAGAAGCTATTTTGGGGGCAGATTGAACACCTCTGTAACATGGACGACCACCATATTAATGCAACATGGCGGCACCACAGAGCTGGTCACTGTGGACTCGGGGTACTGTGGGCTACGGATGCAACAGAAAATGAACGGTGCAGGGATTCAAAATTTAAAAAAGAAATACAAAATGCGTGGAGACACCTTCTTAACTGTCCCATGAAATCATTGCCAGGGTTCATGCATTAGAGCTATTTATTTTTGTTTGGGTGTAGGTTAAATAAATTGTTCTTTTATTTATTCACTTATTTATTCAGTATTTATTGTTTATTTATGTACTGGTTCTAATTATTTTTCCTTTACTGGTTTTATTCTACTAGCGTGTATTTTTACTTTCTTACAGTTTATTATTTTATTCCAATTGTGATTAGAATTAACATAATTGCAAAAAAATGGACATTATCAAGGTTTCCTGCTCCTGTTGTAGTGTGGTTTCATACATATGAAATAAACAAAGTACTTTACCATCGCTGTCATGCTGCTGTGTGTGTTTTTGTGCACCTTACACCTATCACCTATCTCAGCATCTGCACTCTCGGCCTGCAGCCCCCCCGTGCCCCGCTGCATCCCTCTCTCTTTATCTCTGTCCCTCTATAGTGAGGCAGTGACCCTGGGTGTGCACTGTTTGGGATGACCTCATCTTCAGCTCTACCTCACCCTCTCTCTGTGTGTGTCTCTCGCTCTCTCTCTCTGGCCTGTATAATAGGAGCAGGATTAGGGCTATAATAGCGCCCCGGCTGTTCACTGCCGGAGTCTATTGTGGCTTTGTGTGGGAGGGACGCACCACAGCTCGCGGACACGCTCGCATTTTGACAGAAAACATGTTCAAACACACTCCTTGGATCAGGAGGCTAGAAATGACTTGATTTAACTAAATGCAAAAGAGCCACTGAAATAAAAACCAGGAGACAGACTGATAGAGCTGGTAGGCAGGTAGGTATGTTGTCATGACTTTGTCAACCGAAGGAATACCCAAATGAAATGACACATGTATATCCCCCAAGGACACACACACACACACACACACACACACACACACACACGCACACAAACAGAGCCAATTAGTGAGGAGAAGACTTGTGTTGTGCTGCGCCCTAGTGGCCATTCCCCGTATTGCTCCCTAGTTCTTCCTCGGGGTCAACACTGAGAGCTTCGTGACACTGAGCATCTCTCCACACTCCCTTCCTGCACCACTGCTCCACTTTTACCGCCGAGCTGCGCGCACCTTTGCAGCAGCAAACCGCTCGCTGCGCCGCTTTATAAACTTACCTCTGCAGGAAGAAAAGAACAGAGGAGCGTTCTGTCAGTGAGTCACAGTCTAGTTTGAAAGGCGGTGATGAATGACGGTGCTGGCTTCAGAACTGGACCTGGACCCGAACCCTGAGGAGACAGAGTGATAGCGGAGAGAGGCAGAGAGAGAGAGAGAGAGAGAGAGCGAGAGCGTGCCTACTTTGTGGTTGCGGAGAGCCGCGTGACAGGTGAGAGATCATACCGTGCTGTTTGGGCTTGGGGGGGTAGTCATAAAGTGAGTAGGAGGGGTGAGGAGTTTTATTGGAGTCCTTTATTCCCAGTCGCTTGATTTCAGTTTGCAGATGCCGACAGATGTGCCCGAAGACAGGCTCAACATCGAGGAGAAGGCGACCAAGGTAAGGTGCACGGGGGGGGGGGCTGCGCGCGCGAGCAAACAAGCTCCAACATCCAGTGTTCAATTAGCAGGTCAGGTTTGGGGCAAAGTGGTGTTTTGTGATGTTTTTATATTATGATTAACATATTCACGGAGGGCGGTTATCGAGCTGCCAGTGTGTGTGTGTGTGTGTGTGTGTGTGTGTGTGTGTGTGTTATTATGAGAGCCAGTGGATGTGTGTGATTATGTAGTTTGTAGTTTCTATGCCTCATATTATTTATTGTAGAAAAGGTAAAAATATTGCACAAGACATATCAGCGGAGGGGGGTTATCAAGCTGCCAGTGTGTGTGTGTGTGTGTGTGTGTGTGTGTGTGTGTTATGTAGGTGGTGCTGCAGGGAGGTGGTGTCCTGCATTTGAATTCCTCGTTTTAATCACTAAATCCAACTTTTGGCTAATTGAAAACGTCAGTTAAACTGATTTAATGTGTATTTTTCTATAATAATACATGTATGATATTAAAGGTGTTGTTCTCAGTGATAAACCCAGAAGTATCACATGACTGGTGACTGTATCTCGCTGGCTGATGACACACGACCCTGCAGAAAGCATAGTTAACTGCTAATAAATGCATAATAGAGCATGTACTAATCTTAATAAAGCAACAACAAAAAAAGCTTAGTTAAGGTTTAACAATGACAGAATAGATAAGTTCGTTAAACTCAATACATTTGTATCATCGGAAACATTCTTAAACACTATAAGCTATTAATAAGTTCTGTATAAGTGCTTATAAATTCTTTATAATCTATCAATAAACATGTTTATGATGCTATTAATAACACATAGTCTTATTAACACCTGATAATGTTAATAAGCACCTTATTACTGTTAACTAACACTTATTACAAGGACCTTAATATAAAGTGTTACCAGAATTAGTTAAACTGAATACATTTGTATCATAAGAAACATTCTTAAGCAGTCTATGAACTATTAATAAGTGCTTATAATCTATCAATAAATGTTCATTAAGTGTTACACAATGAAGAGAGTGTCCCTCCATGTTCCTCTCTCCTCCAGTGTGACAGCATGACTCTGTCCAGCACCCCGACGGTTCGCAGAGGAAGCACTCCTCTGCCGATAAAGCACCAGCTCAGGCGGGAGGAAGCCGTCCACGACGACTGCGACTGGACCTCGGGCGCCGCCGGACCGTCTGCTACACCGATCAGCTTCAGCCTGGCCTTGGATGACACCCCGACTCTGGCCGTGGAGGGCAGACACGACGGGCCTCTGAGGATCGCCCTGCTGGGGCAGAACGGCGTGGGGAAGTCTTCTCTGGCCGTCGCCCTCGGCGGGGACATGGACAGGACTGCGTCTGTGGATTGTGAAGGTGTGAAAGCTATAGCGTGTTGGACTGGACTAACGCGGGTAAATATATCACCAACACCCCGTGGCCCAGGTGAGACCTAACTGCTGCTCTCCTCCCTGTCCTCAGGGGAGGGATACGTGCGCACAGTCACCGTGGATGAAGAGGACAGCACCATCATTATCTTTGACAACTGGAGACAGGTGAGCCAAACAACACACTCCCTGCTCCCTCATTAGGCCACTGAGCCCTCTCTGCAGCTGTATACGGCATTTCACTGTGGTATATATACTCTATATATATATATATATATGTGTGTGTGTATATATACACACATCTGGTCTTGTCAGAGGGCCAGAGGACTGCAGGATCCTTGGACTGTTTTAAGAAGGAGCTCAAAATGTTCCTTTTTTTAGTTTAGACTCTTAACGTATTTCTTCTTCAGCCTAATTTGATTGTAACTTTATTCGAAGCCATCTGTTTGCTGCACATGACAATGTTTGTGCTTTATCAAGAAAAACATCTGGTAAAACAGTACCTGGATCTCTAGATGAGTGAGGGAAAAAACAACTTCATCCATGCATTCATCCCGTCGTACATAAATTAAAACCTAAGCGTATCCCATCATGCACTGGGACAGGTCACTAATACAACTAACATATAGCATAACAACGAGGTAAACAAAAAAAGAAAATGAAATAAACTACAATATATAAACCGATTCTGGTAATAAGCGTTAGTTGATAGTTAATAAGGCCCTAATAAGATGCTTATTAACATTATTAGGTGTTAATAATAGCATCATAACCATGTTTATTGATAGATTATAAGGCATTTATAAGCACTTATACAGAATTTATTAATAGCTTATAGTGTTTAAGAATGTTTCTCTATTATGCATTTATTAGAAGTTAATTATTCCTTCTGCAGGATCTAAGTTATCTAAAGAGAGAACAATGCTTAATGTTAAGAGATCTTTAATTGGGCACTTATTTACAGTTAACTATGCTAATTAACTAACCTTGATATAACGCTTTACCCAGATGATTGCTGTGCATGCAGCGTATTTCAGATGTGCTCATATTGTATATCTGGAGAGCATTGCATTCATTATTGTACTTGACGTCACTATAACTAACGGAGAACCGCTGTGGCAAAAAGAGGACAATAAATCTGCTGCATCTGGTTGAATGAAGGAAAGCTCATTATCAAGTTGTTTTGCACACTTTTCTCTTCTTTTCCCTCGAGTGCAGCTCACAGGCATCTGTGAGAGAGAGAGAGAGAGAGAGGGAGAGAGGGAGAGAGACAGAGAGAGAGAGAGGGAGCGAGAGAGACAGAGAGAGCGAGAGAGGGAGAGAGATAGACTGAGGCAGAGAGAGGGAGAGAGAGATAGACAGAGGCAGAGAGAGAGAGAGAGAGACAGAGAGAGAGAGAGAGACAGAGGGAGCGAGAGAGAGAGAGAGAGCGAGAGAGAGGGAGAGAGATAGACTGAGGCAGAGAGAGAGAGAGAGAGAGATAGACAGAGGCAGAGAGAGAGAGAGAGAGAGAGAGAGAGAGAGAGAGGGAGAGAGAGGGAGAGCTTCCCACAGAGCAGATGTGCCAAATGAAGAGGAAAAACTGAATTCACACAATGGTGACACAATCTGTCTATCTTGATGAGGGGATTCACATGTGTTACTCTTTGTATAGTGCGCTATATTTGTTGTGAGAGACACTGTGATGCCTTATAAGGAATGTTCTTATGTAAGTGTATTACATCTGTGACTAGAGTGCCTTTGGTCTGTGTTACATTTTTAATCAAAATTAAATGAAAAGTCAATGAGCCATGGCAGCCTGAGAGGTTTAGTCAGTTTTCTAGATATTTAATTTTTAGGGATTTCTGTCTCTCTCTTGCTTGGAGAGGATGATTGTGTGTGTGTGTGTGTGTGTGTGTGTGTGTGTTTTTCTGCACATAAAGCTTTGACAACAATATCAAATTAACATTGCGACCTTCTCATCTTCTCCTATCATAATATAATTAAAATTGAAATGTGTTTCTGTTCCTCACTATGAAACAGGTCTGAAGTATTTAGGTTGAATAGTTGCAAGAGTGTAGCAAGTATACGATTAATTGGTGTTACGATTAAGAGCGGGTCCTTTTTAATTACTGCTGCTGCTCACGCGTGATGATGGTACCGCAGTTGACTACTTACCAATATGTCAGTATGTGCTAGTAAGTACAATTGTGATGCATCTTTTCCTTAAACGACGACAGTCTTGTACCAAACGGTGTGTTTCGTCCCTCAGGACCTGTCGGCTCTGCAGTGTGAGGTCGGCGTTCTGGTGTTCTCGGTGACCGACCGGCGGAGCTTCCACCGAACCGCTCAACTCCGACTCCTCCTGAGAGAGACTCAGCCCCAAACCCCCATCATCCTCGTCGGTAACAAGAGCGACCTCGTTCGCACACGTGAGGTCACCTCTCAAGGTGCGATGAACCTTTTCATATATTTTTTTTCCATCTTTCGCCACGTTGCCCTTTTCTATTCCCCTCACCTGTCTTCATGGTTCACTTCCTTTCCATTGTGGGTATTTTTGATACTTTTGGTATTTTTGGTGAGAAGTTAACTACAATTCCCAAGGTGCATTTCTGCAAGAAGCATCCGAGCGCAGAGCTAAAGTTCTGTTGTGTGCGTCGGCAGGTCTCGAGTCTATTTACTCCAAAGTAACCAAAGCAAATATTGGACCTATTTTTCACAAGACACACATATATTAAAAACATTCGGAAACATTCAAACCTAAATCAGAAAACGATTAACTTACAAAAAAAATACATATAGTAACATAAACATGGAAGATAGACGTAAAGACAGACATAGAGACGACAACAGCAGATACGATGACGTAGGTAATGAAATGATTAGATTGGGTTACGTAGGGTGTGTGTGTGTGTGTGTGTGTGTGAGAGAGTGTGAGTGTGTGTGTACGTCCAAGTAGTCTGTGAGATGTGTGGTGGAAAGACAAAAGATGTAGTGGAATTAAAAAAGATATGCTTCAACAGCAATATCCTAATATAAATTCTAATAATAAAAATATAACATGTTATCCTATAATGGTTTTATTATAATAATAATAATAACAATAATAATAATAATAATAATAACTACTACTATCAACTATCTGACAAAGGTGAAAATGCCCGGTGCCAAAGAATGACATTTACTTTTTCTGACTGCGGGGCTGCTGTGCAAGGTGTTTCTCTTATTTTGTCCACCTCCTACAACTGAGAAATAACCCTGAAATTCAACACCATGCAGCCGCTTTTCACCCTTTTGTGGTTTGTTTCAGTGTTAGTCTGTGTCTCCGTGGTACAGGACGAGTACCACATGATAATACACGCACACTCACTACAAAGCTTAAGAGAAACTCTTAACATTGGTCGCCGTCCATTTAAAGGTGAACTTAAAGGCCCAGTTTAAAAGATTTAGTGGCATCTGGTGGTGTGGAGCAGATTGCAACCAAATAAAATACCCTTCGCTCACCAAGCGGGAAAAAAAGTGGCTTTGGCCGATCGTGTGTTCTGTGCTAGCGGCGGTGGACGAGACATGCGGGTAGAGGCGGTTGAATTAGGTTTCACTTTTGTTTACATGTCTGTGTTTGTTGCAGATGTATTGATAAAGTATTGGCTTTTTTCTAATGGAAAATATTTTATTGCATGTACAGTTGCGGGCAACTCGAGTGTCCTTCACAATCTACCTGGTTCACTTCAACACAGGCGGCATATTTTCTTGCGCTTCCTGTGTGTGCAGTAGGAGGAGCTCAAATGCGAGCTGCAGCGTGATAATAAATGACATGATAATGATAATAACTTCGGGGCTTATCAATACGCCGGTAATATTGCACCGATGCCTGTTTAATACCGGGTTTCGGAACGCATCCCGATATTCAGATAAGGTGAAGTCCCTTGTGGGCTGCCGTAGAAACATGGCGGTGCAAGATGGCGGACTCCGTGGAAGACAACCCGCTCCCTACGTAGATATTGAAGGCTTTTTATAAGCTAACGAAAACACCACGATTGTTAGTTTCAGGTGATTATACACTGATGAAAACGTAATTATGAATATTGTATTCCATTTTTGCCAATTAATCCCCTTTAAGTGTCTCACACTGTTCCTTTAAAAGCCGTCACAGCTGCATTCCTCTCCTCTCCTCCCCTCCCTTTAGAGGCCATGTCCAGCGCCGCCCTCTTCAACTGCCTGTATCTGGAGATCTCGGCCTCCCTGGACCACCGTACCCCGGAGCTGCTGGAGTGCGCGGTGCGGCTAGCCAGGGGCCAATCCCCGTGGCCCCCAGGGACCAGCGCGGAGGACATGAGCGGCGACGGCGGCCAGCGTGAGAGCATCACGTCCCGCGCCAAACGTTTCCTGTCCAGCCTGGTGCCCCGGTACCAGCGGGAGCGAGAGGCGGGCAAGTTCCTGAGGCAGAAATCCCGCTCGTGCCACGACCTGGGGGCCCTGTGATGGTGGGAGTTTAACGGTTAGATTGTTAAGCTGGAGGTGGTGTAGTGTAGAGCGATGGCAGGACAATGGAGAAGTTGATGTTTATCCATTAGAGGAAGATATAGAAATTTTGTACACAAGACCGAGCAGCAAAGATGAAATACTGTTGTAGAACACATGTAAATAAACTATAGTACTGACACATAACAACCCTCATAGCTAAATAAATTGCTTTTTTTTTGAGTCTTGAAAAAGTCTGTTTGTCTCCGGTTTCTGTTTTTACACCATAAGTGTTTTTTATTTTTGTATTATTGCGATGACGAGGAGAGCGCTGATCTCATTTAACACTTCAGCTCGGGATGAAGCCATGACCGCACACATGCAGGAGCTCATCAGTGGGTTAATAGACTTCTCCTGATGAATCATGTTGTGTTCATTTTACACCATCCGGTATCCATGGGGACGCTGAGCCGTGCGTGGAATAGTGAAAAGTGCGAACGAGGAGAGAAATAAATGAAAGGGAGATCTAAAGTGGATTTGCAGAGCGCAGCAATAAGAGTCGGAGCAGAGAGACGACAGATGATTGTATACGGAGTGATTGTTGCCATGTTACGGTTGTCACAGAGACCTGGAATCAGGGAGATGTACACACGATGTCCACTTCAGCTCTTCATGCTGCACACAGAGCTAGAGACGGGAAGACTGATTCAAATGCTGGGAAATAGATTTTATACATTTATTCAGCTCCAAATTCAAATGCAGAGGATATCAGCTTCACTACACTCATCTGGATCAATCTCTCTCTCTCTCTCTCTCTCTCTCCCTCTCTCTCTCCCATCAGCACTTCCATCCTCCCACATCTTCCTCCCACACGTGAACAAAGATTTAGCACATCACAGGTCGTTATACCCATCAGTTATCAAAAGGGAGAGAGCTGTGCTATAATAGAAGTTGAAAGAGAAAACGGTGGCATGATATTCTGACTCATCGCTGCTTGGCTGCAAACTACTGGAACAGATTGAAAGGTTAAGATTTTGGAACGGTTCAACGTGAGCTGCAGGCGCCCTCTGGTGGCCGAGGTGAGGCCCCACAGCTGAGCAGGTGATGAAGATTAAGGTAGTTGAAATGGCAAATATAGCAGAGCACCATTTCACTCAGAGGAAGTGCAGCTGCTTTGAACACGATAAGGGAAAGATTGTTAGATATTAGAGATGAAAGGATTTGTGGGTGTTTTAACGTCACTGAAAGGAGCTCCGATTGTCTACTGAATTTCTAAAGTGATGCAGTTGTTGGTGAAGAGTGCATCGAGAGTATGCATGTAAAAATGCAAATGAAACAGGACACTATGAACCTCACTCCAGCTATAAAACACAAGTCCAGTACAAATATGATATTCACCTGAACCACTATTTGATCAACTTGATCCCTGTATTCCTTTTACAGAGAAACAAACTCCATATTCCACTAAACAGGTCAACAGCATCTCATCAGCTCCAATCATATTCAAAATGATAAAATCATAGACCGACCACTGGCAAGAGAAAAACACTTTGGTCCAAATCAGAGCCACAGCCGAAACAACGAGCTACTTCCTTTCTCCAAACATACAGGAATATAATTCTGGTGGAGAAACACTAAAAATGACCAGAAACTCTCAAATTTAAATATGTTGAATTAAATAAAAATAAAAAAATAAATAAAAAAACCCCCACCATCAGAAGCCTTTCAAAAGCAATTTTGTAATTTTAGAGCGTGACCTCCGAGTCCAACTACGGGGTAAAAATGGGAGGAGTTATACAGCCAGCAGCGAGTTAGCTTAGCTTAGCATAAAGACTGGACGCAGGGGGAAACAGCTAGCCGGGAACTGACCAAAGGTAACATTAAAAATGTATACATTTACCATTTTACATGGGGGTTGTGTGCCAAATGTAACGGCATTTTAACAACAGTTATATACAAAATTTCAAGAAAATCATGAATGCTTTTTAGAAATTGTATTTATTAGTTATTAAAACAAAGTGAACAAAATCAAAAACAAGTAAAAGTTCTGGGTATTAAGTGTCTTGCTGGGAATGAACAACATTACTGTTAGTCGAGTCAGGAAATTAAGATTAGTGGCTCACTTTTCAAATCATTTTAACCTTTGGGTGAAGGTGTCAAGTATTGTTATGTCAAAAAGCTCAAGTCTAAGTGAAGTCAGAGTTAAGAGTCAAGTACTTGAAATACATCAAGTCAAGTATTTTATGGTTCACACTCTATTCTAAGTCATGTGACTCTACTCCACACCTTTGATTGGACAGATAACCAGCTGTAGCTTCACATCTTTAAAAAGGTATCAATCTTCTCTAACAAATAAGTGAATATCCCAAAATGTTTCATTATTGCTTTAAGTGATTAGTCATTTTATAATTTTGGAAGTTAGTGTGCAGAAACAGACGGCAGACATTCTGACTCGTGACGGTGGTAAAAGCACAAATGGAACTACATTCTGTCAGCGATGGCTCGGTGCCATCAAGTTTCCCAATAAGCCACGACAGCGAGTCAGCCAGTGCAATACCAGGACACTGAAACTGAATCACCTAAATGGAACGTTCTCCTGCCACGACGCGTCACAAAGGTCCCTAATGGGATGAAACAACCACAGAAGCTTTTGATTAGTTTCTATTTTTAATGGAATGATTTCCGTGTGTAGATTTTCATGGTAAAGAAAGACATTTGACGGAGCGGAGCCCTGAACGGGTCCTGAGGCGCCTCAGATGCTGCAGGCCTGTAACTTCTGGTCGGCCAGCTTGAGAGACACCCAGGTGTTGAGCATGGAGGCCCTTAGCTTGCACCAAACCAGGTGATCGGTCAACCCGAAGATCTGCGCGGCAAACTGAGCAGCGGCCTCGGGGGAGAGGATCGTGGAGCAGCCGAGACCTGGACCACAACAAAGGAAAGGTTAGGATACAATAATACGATTAGGGATCTCGCAGTTTAGTGGACCGTACCAGGCAGGAAGGTGAAGACTCAGTAATAACAGTTTTGTACTGCGGTACCGAGGTACTGGCTGTGTGCACGGATCTTGTTTTGTATTGCACATTAATTAATTCTGTGGTCCTGGCCACAACCTCTGATGGTGTAAAACCCAGTTAGGCACCAACAATTAAAAAAAACAAAAAAAAAAAAACAGGAAGTGGTGCGCTTACCGCTTGGCATCCGCAGGGAGGACCAGACGTCTTGTGCCCCCCAGTCTGGAGTGAGAGGCGGGCAGTTGATGACGGGATACACCGTGTTTCCAGACATCACCGGGCCGAGGCCGTTACTCCGGCCGGCCACGGCCACAAACACGGTGGGTACGCCGTCACCTGAGGGAAAACAAATATTAAGACCCGATAGAGGGAACGAGATCCTCACGTTTGGTCTTTTTTAGAAACGATACACACCTTCATATTCGGCTTTGATGCGGAGCGTCTCATCTGGACCCTTGTGTGCCGAGGTGACTCTCAGGATGCAGGGGATCCCGTAGGAGGTGCAGGCCTTCCTGATTTTCTCACAATGAGCCAGGTCCGAGGTGGAGCCCATCAAGACCACCACCCTGCCACTGGCCTGGTGCTCCAGCAGCAGCTTAGGACACAACACAGCACTCGTTAGCATTAAATGCAAGTCCCACTTAAAGCGAGGCTGTGCAACATTAGCTGAGCAGTGACCACACAATAACTTTGATCATAACAGACCCAAAAAAAAAAAAAAAAAAAAAAGTACCTTTGGCTAAGATTCCTGCTACACGGGTTTTTCTTTACATAGAAACTAACCTCAGTTTCTGAGAGGTGAAGCAAAGTGTGTTAAAGCTGCATTCTCTCTAGTGTCCACCAGGGGGCGA